TTAATTTGCTCAAAGGCTTGTTGCTGCTCAGGGCCCCATTTAAAATCATTCTTCTTCCGGGTCACATGATAGAGAGGGCTTACAATCGAACTGTAATTCGGGATGTGCATTCTCCAGAACCCCACTGCACCCAAGAAAGCTTGCGTTTCTTTCTTATTAGTTGGTGGAGACATTGCTGTTATCTTGTTGATCACATCTGTGGGGATCTGTCTACGTCCATCTTGCCATTTTATTCCCCAAAATTGAATCTCCTGTGCAGGTTCCTTGACCTTACTCCGTTTTATGGCAAAATCGGCTTTCAGCAGGATTTGGATTATTTTCCTCCCTTTCTCAAAGACTTCTTCCGCTGTATCGCCCCACACAATAATGTCATCAATGTATTGCAGGTGTTCTGGAGCTTGCCCCTGTTCCAGTGCAGTCTGGATCAGTCCATGGCAAATGGTAGGGCTGTGTTTCCACCCCTGGGGCAGTCGGTTCCTAGTGAACTGGACACCCCTCCAAGTAAAAGCAAACTGTGGCCTGCACTCTGCTGCCAAAGGAATTGAGAAAAATGCATTGGCAATATCAATCGTGGCATACCACTTGGCTGCCTTTGACTCTAGTTCATACTGAAGTTCTAGCATGGCAGCACTCAATGGTGGTGTGACTTCATTCAGGCCACGATAGTCTACTGTTAGTCTCCATTCTCCATTAGACTTTTGCGCTGGCCATATGGGGCTATTAAAGGGTGAGCGGGTCCTGCTGATCACCCCCTGACACTCCAGTCTATGGATCAGCTGATGGATGGGAATCAGGGAATCTCGGTTGGTGCGATATTGCCGCCGGTGCACTGTTGTGGTCGCAATTGGCACTTGTTGTTCTTCAACTTTCAGCAACCCCACAGCAGAGGGATCTTCTGAGAGACCAGGCAAGGTGGACAGCTGCTCAATTTCCTCAGTCTCCAAAGCAACAATACCAAAAGCCTACCGGTACCCTTTTGGGTCTTTGAAGTACCCTCTCTTGAGGTAGCCTATGCCGAGGATGCATGGAGCCTCTGGACCAGTCACAATAGGGTGCTTTTGCCATTCCCTCCCAGTCAGGCTGATTTCAGCCTCCAGCACAGTCAACTCTTGGGATCCTCCTGTTACTCCAGAAATACAGATGGGTTCCACCCCTTGACAGCTTGATGGCATCAGGGTACACTGTGCACCGGTATCTACTAGAGCCGGTATCCACTACTTCTGTGGGACTGATGTGCCAGGCCATCTGATCCACACAGTCCAGTAAATCCGATTGTCCCCTACCTCCACCTGGCTGGAGGCAGGGCCCCTCTAATGGTTGTCACAGCATTGGACACTTAAGTCGTGGTGAAAGGGATTATTCTTCGTTATCACAGGAGCTGGAGTAAAATCAGCTCTTCCATTCCATCTGGGAAACTGCTCACCAGAGACTGAAGCCGTAGCTCTCATGGGATGATCAGTCTTGGCCCTTGCTCCCCTCTTCAGTTCACTCACCCGTTCCTCCAAAGCTGAAGTAGGTTTTCCATCCCACTTTGTCATGTCTTCTCCGTGATCCAGCAGGTATAACCATAGGGTACCCCCTGGCGTATACGTCCTGTATCTCCTCTCTTGAACAATAGGATACCTTTTGTTAATAGCTGAGACGTGTGTTGGTACACGTGAGGAGCTGGATAAATCAGATAGATCGTCCCTCAATTGTTCGAGGTCCTGGGACAGTTTTTTCACAGCTGAGATGATGGAAGGGGTGAGATTGTCTTCAAACTCTCGGAGTTTATGAACCATTTCATCCACTGTTAGTGGTACTATGTCATTCCAGGTTACTGTTGCCAATGAATGGGCATATGATGACGGTGCATGCCGTGTAAGTTTTCGCCACACTAATTCTTCCCTCTGAGCAAGAACATGGCTATTGCAATAGCAGGAGCCAAGAGAAATGTGTTAATCCTATCTCAGCCTTGCATGGCTCATTTACTGTCTCCTCAGCCACCACAATGAGCCTTGCCTGGCACTTCCAAAACCAAGTGCGTGCTTCTGACCTTCCCAGGGCCTTCCAGGGTTCATAAGCCAAGAGGTTTGCATGCAAGGAGTAAATGCGCTCATTTAGCACCATCCTCTGCCCATCCCAGACCAGAGGCCCTCCTCCATACTAATGCCTGCTTGAGCAAGAGCAGCTGTAGAAAGTGAGCTGAACTTGATCAGAAACACCTGCCTTCAGAGCCCCCTGCAGTCCCACCCAGACCATTTACATTTGAGAGTTTTGAATTTTTTGAATGGCCTTTTAATGCTGTTGAGACTTGTTTGCTGATGGTGATGGGAATCACCATGCTAACACGCATACAGAGTGTGTTTTGCCCACTACTGATTTCAAGAGTTAAGCAGAGTCAGGTTTGGGTCTTGTCTGGGATCAAACGATGATGTAGGAGGACCGAGAGATTTTCCCTGAGGCTGGACAGCCATGAGTGGCAGGGTGTGTGGGATAGTATGGGCAAGTATCTAGGTCAGTGGGCCCCTCCAGTACTTTGGAATTTCACTACCGAACGATTAAAAAAATAACTGTCGTGGTTTAAACCCAGTCAGGTAACTTGTTCACTCACTCCCAGTGAGTGGTGCTGAGCTGACAACAATCGAGGTCCGTGTCCCCCCTGCCCCGCACTGGGGCTCTCCCCTTCCCCGCTCCCAGAGGAACGGGGAGGAGGATCGAAAGAGTGCAACTCCTACGGGTTGAGACAAGAACAGTCCAGCAACCAATGTATAACACAAATCACCACCGCTACTATCAGCTAAAACAATGATAAGGGAAAATAACAAGGGAAGAGAATACGATACCACCGGCCAAGAAAACGAGTTCCACCCGGAAGCTCCTGTCCTTCCGGGTAACTCCCAGTTACCCCCCACCCCGGCCATGACGTGCTGTGGTATGGAATACCTCCCCGGCTAGCCCGGGTCAGGCGCCCCGTCCCTGCTTCCTCACAGCTTCCCCTCCTCCCTGGCAGAGCATGAGCCTCACAAAGTCCTTGGTCAGGGTAAACATCACTTAGCAACAACTGAAAACATCGGCTTCACCAACACTGTTCTCAGGCTGGAAGTCAAAACACAGCACTGCACCAGCTACCACTAAGGAAAAAAACATAACTGCTACTGCTGAACCCAGGACAAGACCCAAAACTTCTGCTTACAAAGCAGACCTCAATGACTCAATGTCCAAATGGAGACCAGTAATGAATGGTGTTGTCCCTCAGGGGTCTGTGTTGGGACCGATGAACAGTGGGATTGAGTGCACCCTCAGCAAGTTTGCCGATGACACCAAGCTGTGTGGTTTGGTTGACAAGCTGGAGGGAAGGAATGCCATCCAGAGGGACCTCGACACACTTGTGAGGTGGGCTGATGCCAACCTCATGAAGTTTAACCATGCCAAGTGCAAGGTCCTACACCTGGGTCGGAGCAATCCCAGGCACAGCTACAGGTTGGGCAAAGAAGAGATCCAGAGCAGCCCTACAGAGAAGGACTTGGGGGTGCTGGTTGATGAGAAAATGAACATGGGCCGGCAGTGTGCGCTTGCAGCCCAGAAAGCCAACCGTATCCTGGGCTGCATCAAAAGGAGCGTGACCAGCAGGTCAAAGGAGGTGATCCTGCCCCTGTACTGTGCTCTTGTGAGACCTCACCTGGAGTATTGTGTGCAGTTCTGGTGTCCTCAACATAAAAAGGACATGGTTAGAAGGATGCAGGTCCTCAGTAAAGCCCTTTTTACAGGGTTACCTACATCTCATGCAGAAGTTTTCCTTGTGTGTACAAGACTCACTTTGAGAGCATGCTAAATGCTTCTGCTTGTCAAGATCTCATAGAGCTTAGCTTCTATCACTGCAATGCACACAGTCCAAAGCTATTAAGGCACTGAAGTGCTCAGTTCTCAGCCTTCAGGAAATGGGCATACTTGAGCTTGTGTTCCTATGGAAAATTACTCCCTTTCCCATTCTTAAAATGCACTGGAAAGATCCATCCTTACCAATCTGTTATTACAGGTTTGCTTTGTATGCAGAAGTTTTGGGTCTAAAACTAGCCTCTTGATTTGAGACTGCCCTCAGACTGCACAAGAGCTACTTTTTAAGGCATGCTTCTCACACACTCCTCTTCAGAATATTCTGTTGAGAGCAATAGGGATTTAGTTTAGATCTTCATTAGGACCCAAGCTGTTAGGAGTTGGGGGAGTTCCCCTGACACTAGACCCATTCACATTACATCTGAGAGCTTGCATTGTATTTCATGCTGCTTTATCTCAATTTTATTGAAAATGACAGCTTTGTTGCTTTATTAATTTTTTCCTGTATACACAGAGAAAAGCTTGTTCATGTGGATTTTTATTTTTTTTTTTCTGGCTGGACTGATTTCTTTCGTTAAGAAAAAAAATATTTTTAAGCCATCTAACATCTGACTACAAGACTTTGCCTTTTAAGTATCAGAATTCTGATCTACAACAACTAAGTCCTTAATTATTCTGTTTTGAATTTAGACCTCCGATATGTCTCATATGAGGAAAGAATCTTGATTAGATTTATCCCAAATGTAGGATGGATCACTCATTCAAGCATTCATTACATGTGCTGGCAACTGACTGGCAGTGTTGGGATGGATTGGTGCTTTCCTCCCCCAACAAATCTAGTTTAAAGCTGCCTTGACCAGCCTGGCAAGTTTCCTCACAAAACGGCCCTCCGTAACTAGCCCCATCAGTCTCCAGTAGACCTGGCCTCCCATATCAAGTACCATGGTCTAAGTAACCAAAACCCTGAATATGGCACCACCTCTTTAACTTTTGTTAGCCTTTATTAACCTGCTAAATCTACCTGGCCTTTTCAAGGTCTTCCTCTTTGACCTAGAGGATCAATGAAAAAAAAAATTATATGGATGTGAAAGTTTTCTGGCTGTTTTACCACATTGGTGCTCATACATTTCAATGAGTTTCTTAAGAGAATTGGTGTGTGTGTGTTATTTTTTCATAGCACTGTTAAATTACCTTTTCCTCTGTTTTCTGCATTCTTTTAAGGCAAAAAGCACATTGGACCAGATCCTGCAGGAGAAGGTTCTAGAAATCTTCAGAAGGATTTCTAGTGGCCACGTGTGTGTGCTAGTATATGACTGAAGTAGGAAATTATCTCTTAATGTGTGTTAGAAAGTTATGGACTTTTTTGCAATGTACTACTTACACCCCAATAATTGTTTGCACCCATATTTTCATTCCAGAGTAAATGAAAGTAATATAACATGTGCTTAAAGTGACAGTTTCCAATCAAATCATGCCTTGCAGATTCATAACCTGCCTTTTTCTCACAATGAGAGAATGAGCCATGTAACCCATCCTAAGTTTTGTAACAGTATTTCTCAACCTACCATGTTACTCAAATTAGTAATAAAATAGACAACAAAAAAATATTATCATAGGATTTGAGTAGAGTAACTGTTGTGCAAGAGATGACTTTAAGTGGATTTTTTTACAGCTAATATAGATTTTTCACTGTAGTCCCTATACAAATAGCATTTCCAAAAATGATTTCTTAAGATATAATTGCAGGTATTCTCATGATATCTGATGTTTTCCTATGTAAACAGAGTGAAAATATTCAAAATGGAAATTGTGCTTCTGCTCATACTTTGGTTGCTTTTGAGTAATTACAGTTGGAAACAATACTATGCAAATAGAAGCACTCCTTTAATGATAGGAAGTTTTACGTATATTTTCAGGTAACTTGTGTAAGTATAGAACACAAAGATAAGTGAAATCAGATGAGGAAGCAAATTGTGTAGGATCTGGCACAAAAAGACTTGAAAGAGATGAGGTCCTGGGGTTAAATCTCTTTCGTAACTCTCACATGCATATAAACTATTATGCTGTTAAATCATGTTGTTTGTTTGGAATTTTTAATCTCTAATGAGTTATGCACATGAGGACACATTATTCCCGGAGAAGCTTGAATGGGTTTATAACAATCTGACTATGCAAATACTTATAAGTTAGAGGCAGAAAATATAACTTCAAAATGAAAATCCTAATCGAAGTTTAAATTTGGTATGAGATTTAAAAATAATTGTATTTTTAGTATATATAGAACATAAGGTGATGGAGGGAAAATAATTTTGACAAACCTAGTCATAAATTCTGTAGACATAAGCTTCAGCAAGTGGGATCTTTGATGACAGCAATATATAAAAAGGAGAATAGCTGTAAAACATTTAATACTATTTTGCATAGTTTTCTGTGTTTGTAGAAACACATTTCAGAAATAAATAGACTGAGAATCTGAGGAATACTTTCCAAAGAGATCTGAAATATGAATCCTGAGAATGTGTTGATTCATAATTTGTTACAGTTAGCCTGTTAATAATTAATTCTGCTAATACTATGTATTTCAGAACTATGCAAAAAATTAAGCTCTTCAAGAGTATCTTTATACTCCCTGTGTTTATTTAACTTTACTGTGGATTGAACTTTGATTCTGCATTTGTAGAGGTCAGCACTTCTGATTGTATACCAGAATAGCTTTTATAATAGGTTTTTAGAACAAACACTACACTTCTTTTGGATGATCAGAAGCAAACACTGAAGATGTAGCCCTTGGTTTTCTTTCTTACTGCAGTTTTACGTGAACAAAATAAAAATTCTTAACTTTTAAGATGAAATATGTAAGAAAGTTAGTATGAAATATTGCACTTCATGAAAATATCTGGTGGAATCTTTTGCAGTCAACTTCTTGGTATGTTGGCTGATGAACTAAATGAAGCTCAAATTATCTTCTTATGCTGAGCAAAGTTGAATTCCATGTACATATTGTGTATGTAACTTGCATTGCAGATTTTGATACTTATACAAAAAAATGAAGTTGTTATGACTTTTGCTTTTAGTGAATCTTAGGAGATAGAATTTTTCTACTCACAGTGAACTTAAGGAGCAATTACTGGAATTCCATAGAAATCTCTGATTTTTTTCTATTGGTGTTGGTAACCATCGGTGACATTAGCTTCTGCAACTTCTAAGCCTTCAAATATTTTGGCTACATCGATGATTTATTTATAATTTTATTTCTCCTTATTCTGTAATTCTTTTATGTTCAATTCAGAAAAGGGTATATATTCCTGTCTACTTACAGACAAGAGCTCTGATGTACTCATGGTCTTTTACTGCCTGACAATATTACTTTAAATAATCTGACAAACAGTAATTATGTCATTTATCCTTCCCTTTTCAGGATACGCAACACAGTCAAGAAGCTTGGTCTGGAAGCACTGGTCTTAATTTTTAATGTCAACAAGATGGTATGTTTAAAAAAAAATATCCTGAAAAACAATATTATAAGTCTTGTCTTCATATCAGGTCCTACCTTCTAGAGGAATTTACCCCAGGATTTCAGGTCATCTGACAAATATATTCCCTTACTTAAATAGACTGAGAACCCCATGTCCCCCATGACAATTGCCTTGTGACACAGGAGCAGAGTTATTTGTCCTTTTTAAGTGTTCTGTTCCTGTAGGCTATAGAAAAAGATGAACCCCTGCATATTGCTGATGTTTTGTTTTGGGTGATTTTAATGGGAATCTGGTATGGGAGGTAGGTGGTAGATCTGATTTGTGTTGAACCTGTGAAGTGATGTGCTGGTAAGGTGTCTAAGCAATGATATTTTCTAGTCTAAATGTACCAGACAGCTGTCATTCCATGAGTGATCAAAGCCCACAGTCCACCTGAATGAGGCAGAATTTGGTGGCTAAATGTTACTGCCAGTGACTATTTGAGATTTAGTGTCAGTGGTTAGACAGTTGTCTGTCTAAACTTCTCTTTAAGATCGGGCTTTTTCCTCAAGTTTTTGTAAAAACAAAGGACACACACCTACATGTGCATCTGCCATGCTTGCAACCTGTCCAGTCATGTCCAACCTGTGAGATATTGAACAGTTGGACAGGTTCAGACACGTGAGTCTTTTCACGCATCCAATAAAATGCTCAAGTCTAAACTTGAGTATGCGTTTTGCTTTAGGGACCTCTCTGATTTGTGAGAATGGAACTGAACTGTTAACTAAAGCATACTAAAACGGCAATGGGAACTTTTCAAAATTATTTCCTTTGTTATCTATGTTGCTGCTTTATTGCTGAGTCAAGTCTTAGACCAACATTTTTAATTTCTTCACTGGCTGTATCACGTCAGCACATTTTCTTTCTTGGTGGTAGCGATGTAGGTGTATATCTCAGAGAACAGAAGCTATGAGTGTACTTTAAAGGCAGATTGTAAAATACTCTGCTTAGGACCCAAGGCACTGATGTTCTTACTGTATGAGTGCTGTCATGCAAGTGGTAGATGATACACATAGGAAAATGAATAAAAATAAATCATCTCAATTGTAACAAATACTCCTATTGTACAAGACAGAGTTGTATACAGATTGTTCAAAAATTACTCCCATGCTTCAGAAAATTTATGATTAAAATGAAAGTTAAATATTACAAGGGAATACATAAGAAAAGACATGACAAGAGTCATGTTTGGAAGGATTTGACAGAAAAATGATAATAAATATTCTTAAGTAAAACATCATAGAAAAAATTTCTAGAGCTTTATTGTATTTTGTTCAAATGAACTGTTGATAGTTCAGTTAATCTGGGAGGATGTCAAACCAAGAGTCTCACTGGGATAGGGAGAATCTGCCAAGATTTTTAGTGGATGCCAGCAGGTTCAGAAAAGTTGCATTGCCGGAGGCAGTCTGGACACCAATCTTGTAATGACCTGCTAACTGACTTTGTGAATAACCTTGTAAATGACCTTGTAAATGTGATCATTTTAGGAGATTTGCTAGTTCTCTTAGCAGTGAAGTAGCCAAGAACATGCAGTGAAGAGAGTCAGGGCCCAAATCTTTCAATTTACAGGAAAGTACTTTCCAAATCTTCCAATTTACGGGAAAGTACTTTCATATAGATGACTTTTGTAGAGAGAACATGGCTCATATTGCACTTTTACAGGAAACACTCATTGCATGACAGTATTTGTTTTGATTCAGCTTCCAACAGATGTGAAATTCCAAGTTTTGCAGATGAGACTAATTTCTTTATTGACAAATACTTAGAGTCACTATGGACCATGTAGACCTACCCTCTTTGAGTAGAAATTCAGAAATGATAGAACATTAGTTTCATTCTTCAAAGTGTTTGATATATGAATTTGAAAAATATCCATTTCTTCTCTATTCTCATCCTATCTCAGCTTTTGGATAGAGCAACCTTTAATCATAGAATTATAGAATAGTTAGGTTTGGAAAGGACCTTAAGATCACTTAGTTCCAACCCCCCTGCCACGGGCAGGGACACCTCACACTAAGCCATCTCACCTAAGGGCCTGGCCTTGCACACTGCCAGCGATGGAGCATTCACAACCTCCCTGGACAACCCCTTCCAGTGCCTCACCACCCTTACAGTAAAGAACTTCCTCCTTATATCCAATCTAAACTTCCCCTGTTTAAGTTTTAACCCATTACCCCTTGTCCTATCACTACAGTCCCTAATGAAGAGTCCCTCTCCAGCATCCCTATAGGCCCCCTTCAGATACTGGAAGGCTGCTATGAGGTCTCCACACAGTCTTCTCTTCTCCAGGCTGAACAGCCCCAACTTTCTCAGCCTGTCTCCGTACAGGAGGTGCTCCAGTCCCCTGGAGTGGCCCCTCTCTGTCTTCATATGGGAGGTGCTCCAGTCCCGTGATCATCCTCGTGGCCCTTCTCGGTTCCAACAGTTCCATGTCCTTTTTATGTTGAGGACACCAGAACTGCACACAATACTCCAGGTGAGGTCTCATAAGAGCAGAGTAGAGGGGCAGGATCATCTCCTTCCACCTGCTGGTCACTCTCCTTTTGATGCAGCCCAGGATACGGTCAGCTTTCTGGACTGCAAGTGCACGTTGAAGCCGGCTCATGTTCATTTTCTCATCAACCAACACCCCCAAGTCCTTCTCCGCAGGGCTGCTCTGAATCTCTTCTCTGCCCAACCTGTAGCTGTGCCTGGGATTGCTCTGACCCAGGTGTAGGACCTTCCACTTGGCAACTTCATGAGGTTGGCATCAGCCCAGCTCACAAGTGTGTCAAGGTCCCTCTGGATGGCATTCCTTCCCTCTAGCATATCAACTGAACCACACAGCTTGGTGTCATCGGCAAACTTGCTGAGGGCGCACTCAATCCCACTGTCCATGTCAGCAACGAAGATGTTAAACAAGACTGGTCCGAATATTGATCCCTGAGGGACACCACTCGTTACCGGTCTGCAGCTGGACATTGAGCCACTGACCACAACTCTCTGCGTGCGGCCATCCAGCCAGTTCTTTATCCACCGAGTGGTCCACCTACCAAACTGATGTCTCTTCAATTTAGAGACAAGGATGTCGTGTGGGACAGTGTTGAACGCTTTGCACCGGTCCAGGTAGATGACATCAACTGCTCTACCCCCATCCATCAGTTCTGTAGCCCCATCATAGAAGGCCACCAAATTGGTCAGGCAGGATTTCCCCTTAGTGAAGCCATGCTGGCTGTCACCAAGCACCTTGTTGACTTTCATGTGCCTTAGCATGCCATCCAGGAGAATCTGCTCCAAGATTTTGCCAGGCACAGAGGTGAGCCTGACTGGTCTGTAATTCCCCAGGTCATCCATTTTCCCCTTCTTGAAAATGGGGGTTATATTCCCCTTTTTCCAGTCATGGGGAACTTCACCTGACTGCCATGATTTCTCAAATATGATGGCCAGTGGCTTAGCAGCTTCATTCGATGGCTCCTTCAGGACCAACAAATGGATTTCATCAGGTCCCATGGACTTGTGCACATTCAGGTTCTTAAGATGGTCTCGAACCAGTTCCTCTCCTACAGTGGGCACAAGGTCTTCATTCTCACAGTCCCTGCATATGCCTTCCAAGACTTGGGTGGTGTGGTCAGAGCCTTTGCCAGTTGAAGACCGAGACAAAGAAGTCATTCAGAACCTCAGCCTTCTCCAAATCCTGTGTAGGTAGCTCTCCCGAGAGCTTCCTGAGGGAGCCTACGTTGTCCCTAGCCTGTCTTTTATTCACTATGTACCTATAGAATCCCTTCCTGTTATCCTTAACATCCCTAGCTAAGTTTAATTCTAACTGGGCCTTAGCTTTCCTAACCTGGTCCCTAGCTTCCCAAACAACATCCCTGTACTCTTCCCAGGCCGCCTGTCCTTGTTTCCACCTTCTATAAGCCTCTTTTTTCATTTGAATTTTCCTCAGCAATTTTAATTTAATTAATTTAATTTAATTTTAATTTAATTTAATTTTAACTAAGTATAATTTCAACACACTTTTGTAAGTGGATCCTAATCTTACTCAAGCAAATGCACAACTTTTTCTCAGACCTTGCTTTTTCTACAGTTTCTGCTTGTGTTATACTTCATTTAATTCTACCTCTGTCTTAAATGTTCTGGTCTGATTAGTCTTCCAGAAGTACTTTTCAAACTTTTTGAACTCTTATTTATTATAATACGTTTGGTTGTTGGGTGCTGAAGAAATTAAGTATATCAAACATCAAAAGTCATCCAGCTGGATTTCTATTCTGTTTTCTGGGGTAAGATGAACTTCCAGCACAGGCCATTAAACCAAACAATGTACTTGATATTCATGTTAAACAGAACCAGAACATGGTATTTACATTTATTATAATGTATTTCCTAATGTTAGGCTAACAGAATCTGTGTACTGATTAAAATACTGATCAGAAGTTTTAACTGAAAAGCCGCTCTGAAATTAATACCAGCAGCAGTAACTATGCATTTCAGCATTTCATCTTTTTAGCTTCTGTGGTATGTACACACATCAGCTCTTTCTCACTGATCTAAAAAGTGCAGACAGAGTTTAGGCAACTCTCAATGCCATCCATTGTATACCTAGTATTGCTAGAATTCTAAACTGCCTGATTTTCCTGGGCATTTTTCCCATGGTGCTGTTAACCATGGCAAGTTTCCTACAAAAAGTAATTGTTTTTTTTAGGGAAAAAAAAGACATTCTTTGTAAAATATTCACAGCAAGAGGCCAGCAGATGTAATTTTCTGATATCAGAAGATTATGTTCAGAACAAAAAAATGTTGAAAAAGGTTGATGAATTCAATGTTCCACATTCATCTAGTGTGAAGCATACAAACACAAATCCTCAATCAAGTGCCAAACTATGTTAAATATTGCTCAGATATTAGTTTAAGACACTAGCTTTGAGGTTATGTTTCAAGGATTGTGTCTATCCACAAGGTATATAAAAGAGCAAATCTCTAATTTTCCCCAGGTTCTGCTGGGTACAGATGCAGGCTCTTTTGGTAACTTGCTTTGCCCTGCTTTGGCCAATATGTGGATATCCCCTTTCAAGCTATTTTCTAACCTGTCATGGCCTTTTCCTTTTCATCATCAAACTTAAATTTTAGCCCTGCAAGATTTAAAACATTAGGACCTGCAAAAAGAAGGAATAGAAGTGATAGAGAAAAAAATATCTACTTTTCTGCCAGCATTGTTCTACTTGTCTTGCAAGAAAGTTTTATGGTGACTCATGGTGAGTTGCTTGGCTGGTACATTCACTTATCACAAAGTCAACCAGTGTTGGCTTCTGAAGAAAGGAAAGTTCCAACACTTCATATTTAGCAATCATTGGAGCAGGGATTAGAAATCACATTTGATTCATACCTCCTAATGCAAATTGTGTTAACACTGTTAGGATAAATTATTTTCTAAGAAATTTCAAGGGAAAATGTTATTAAATCTACAACCTGATTTCTCAAAATCTAATATTCTAAAAGACTGGAATTTATCTGATTCTTAGATGGGTCAGGGGAGTGTTTATTTTAGAATCTTAGAATCATAGAATCATAAAATCATAGAATAGTTAGGGTTGGAAAGGACCTTAAGATCATCCAGTTCCAACCCCCCCTGCCATGGGCAGGGACACCTCACACTAAACCATATCACCCAAGGCTATGTCCAACCTGGCCTTGAACACTGCCAGCGATGGAGCATTCACAGCCTCCCTGGGCAACCCATTCCAGTGCCTCACCTCCCTAACAGGAAAGAACTTCTTCCTTATATCCAATTTAAACTTCCCCTGTTTAAGTTTTAACCTGTTACCCCTTGTCCTACCACTACAGTCCCTAATGAAGAGTCCTTCCCCAGCATCCCTATAGGCCCCCTTCAGATACTGGAAGGCTGCTATGAGGTCTCCACGCAGCCTTCTCTCCTCCAGGCTGAACAGCCCCGACTTTCTCAGCTTGTCTTCAAATGGGAGGTGCTCCAGTCCCCTGATCATTTTAGTGAATGATTAATTAGGCCTGCAATAAATGCAAAAATAGTATCCTGCAAATAGTTCTAACAAGAGCTACTTCTTGTAGGCCACAATTTAAGAAGGTATGTAGGAACTTTCATTAGCCAAGCATGTAAACAGTTACATTAACTTCAGGAAGTCTACAGATATGCTTAATAGAGGGCAAATACTGAGCTCAGGGCATCCAAGAAATATGATACAAAATTGCAGGCAGGCTGAAAAATTATAATTTCAAGTTCTTGTTTCTAAGATTCCAATTTGCTGTCTATGTTTTTATTGAAATTCTAAAGTGAAACTCTGAAATTCCAAAATCTTTACTGGAACTGTAGAATGAGGTTTCGGATGACATTAACTTCAGGTTGAATTCTATTGGTTTTGGCTTGTTTGTCAAAAGCTTTTTGATTGTCTCAAAATAATGTCTAGTACTCTGCAAGCATAATCTATAGTTTGCCAACAAAAAGAATGTCAGTTCCAATTACATCACTGCATCAGTGCTATATTTTATTTTTTCTGAACACAGTTGATCATCTTTATGAATTTAATGATTAAAATCACTGAAAACCAGATGTCCGTATATCTACTCACATATTTGATTGTGTCTTTTTGCATATCTTAGGTATATGTATTTTACAGTAAGTATGCTAAACAAAAAAAAAAAAAAAAAAGAAGATATTTGACTGGAGCTCTTTATTCTGTATGACTTCCCAAATGAAGAGGGATTTTTTAGGAATTCTTAAATAGCCATGTTCGAAATCATTAAGGATATGTGAATTACACAGAGTCATAGAAAGTGTTCTTTAAGGACTCCCGAGACAGTAACTACTTTAGTCCTCTTTTCCTAAGGCAGAATCAATAACATCTAAGCTGTTGACAGCATTTTTTCCAATCTTCACTTAAAAATGCACAGTAGTTGGGTTATACAGCCTCCCTTGGTTATCTAGCCTCCTTGGTTATCTATTGTGATGTTTAATTGACTTTACAAACAGATCAATCAAGGAAAGTTGACTGTCACTCTTGCAGCAGCTTAATTGACTGCTCAACTTCAGGGTAGTTTGGAGTGGACAAAGAGAGCAGTTCAGCCTCCTCCACTTCCTTGGTGTCTGAAAGAAAGGAGGAAGGTGCCTCCAGGCAGGAAGCAATGGCTGTCAGGTGCACATCTGCAGGAGGCTGGAGGTGAGGACCTGAGCCCAAGGCTCTCTGTCTGTGCCACGCAGCTGAGCCCTGAACCCTGTGTGGTTTGAAACAGCAGCCAGTGCTGTCTGTGCAGGTGGGTCCTGCCTCCTCTGGGGATATATCCGCAGCCACAGCACAAGACAGCTAGGCTGGCAGTGCGGCTGCACAATGTTGCTTCAAATTAATTTTGTTTGCTAAGAAAATGAGGGGAATTCAGTACTTCCTTATGTTGAGTCTCTAAATTCTCACAGGAGACTTTTGTGCTTGCATACAACAACCTTCCACAGCAGATTGACAACAGACCTGAGACTGTTTTGCATTACATGTTAATTATGCGGTACATGGTGTTTTCCTTTTATTTTTAGAGAATGAAAGATACATTTTGTTTTTCCAAATTTTGAAAAAAAAATGTGTTTTAAATTTCTGGTCTTAAACACTGTACTAAATAGAGCTACAAAGGTTCTTATTTTGGGGGTGTCAGAATTTAAGTTTTCCTTTCATTTTCTGTGTGTTTCACCTTCTTACCTGCTGGCCCCTCTGTAAAGGTTGATGACTTGGTGTGTTAGGAAAAGAAGAAATAGCAGGGATCTCATCAAAATTGTACTGAAGATCTTGTTTAAACAAATCCTATGCTGTAAATTAATAATACTTTTTAAAAGCTGAGTATATATGTTTTTCTGAACAGTGTTTTAATCTAATTTAAAACACTAGAACTGGTTAGAGTGGACTTCATTCTCTTGGCCATATAAAAGATACATCACAGAATCACAGAATATATATGTATATATGATGTATATAGGATGTATATATGTGTATATATATACACGAGATGTTTATCAGGAGCTACACTCTGATATAATCTCTTTTACTTAACAAAATGACACAAAAGGAATCATAGATGCCAGTGCAGATGAGAGGAAGGGAAAAGACTTTAAATCATTCTTTCACATTCAAATGCTGGCTTGCTGAATATTATGAGAACAGAATAAAAGAAAGTGGGAGGAGAATGCGAAGGAAGAGATATGAAGGAAATTCTTTTCAGAATCTTGACTAATTATTACCAAAACAAATCACTTAAAAATCATTAAAAAACACCAAGAACACTTTACTTATTATTGGTTCATTTTGTAAGGAAGTACAGTAATTATTATTCTTGATATTGTTAAATTCTTGTCTCTTGCATTTAGTGGTCTTTACTAAGTTTTTTTTGAAAAACATGATATTTCCTTTTTAATAATAAATGTTTCAAAATGCAGAAACATCACAGTTCATTTGTTTGTTTTCCAGAAGAAAATTTAATTAAGATTATTTTTTTAAATAAGTACTTAAGGATTATTGAAGACCAAAGGCAATATGATCATAGAAAAAAATAAATTCATAAGCTTAGAGATATTTCTTTGGTTTTTTTTCATTTAGGTGTTACTGTGAGGGATTTTATATGGGAACAGATGGATGAAGTCACCTAGCCAAGGCTGAGTCAAAGGTAGACTGCAAAGCCCTGTGCTAATGATTTCTTTATCTTTTCTCCTTCAAAAATATTTAATTTTCTAATGACCATTACCTAAGCATTACAATTTGAGTCTTTTGTTACCTTAATTAGATTGACTTAATATTAAATATTAATCAATTTAATATTTTCAGTTAACCTGTAGTTGTTATACTGGTTTATAATTTGGCTATTGGTTCTGGCTGTAAATGAAACTAAGGCTCTGCTTCACTCACCAGAAGTAAAATACTCAACCGCAGAGACTTTTTGTTTTTAGTGTAATGATATTAGTAATAAGTAGTAATACTACTATTTCAAATGTAATTGTGATTTTCTTTCAGAAAAAGCTTTGTCTAGAAGCCATTTTAGTATTGTCCCATTACTGTCAATATGAGAGAACTGGTATTTTTAGGGAATGGAGAATAGAGTAATTGCAGAAATTGAAGAATGCCTAATGGTTTCCCCTTTAAATAACAAATTTCTTCATATGGGACAACTGAAATGAAAGCATACCTTTCATTTGAAAATTAATCCAACTAATTTAGAAGGTATGACTTATATTTTGCAAATACATACAGGCATGTTAATGTGTTATACACAAGCAGTTACACAGACAAGTGTGTGTATGTGAATATGTTTGTTAGATGTAATAGCATGGCAACAGGCAAATCAAAAATGCCTAAAAGAAATACAGGTTTCATTATTTGCAGAAGTTAATTAAAATCTTGGCAAGATTTTTCTTTGATGTTCTATACATAATTGTTTTTAAAAATGGATACTTTTATAAACTTCCTAGAATTGTGTCTGGCATCTTTAAAGACGCAGTTGGTTTAGTCAGTACCTTGTTCTCTGTTCTAAAAGTTAACATCTCCTTTGTTGTTTAAACACAAAACGTGTCCCTGTTGTCACTACCAATTTCAATTTTAGCTGTTCTGAGAATAAAAACATTTTGAATTGTAGGACTCCCATGTCTGACTCCATCAAAGAATCATCTTTACCTTATATTTTATCCACCTATATGCACCTTTGTCCATATATCATTATTAGATTGCAAAGAGATGCTCTTAAAATTTAGCATATATCAGAAATAAACTTACCTCTGCAATATTATGCCAGCCCCCTTGTGTACTTCTCAGTTTTTAATTATAATTTTAACCTTTAATCCAAAGTTGTGCTTACAGTTATATTTACAAATATTTCTTTACAGTTATATTTACAAATATTTCTTAACGCTTTCCATAACCATTTACTCAGACATGAAAAGATGGAACTGAAACAGAAGATGTAATTGGCTAAGTTAGAATTTGGGATGTTCAAGTTAACTCACATATTTATTTCATACTTTAAGCATATACTTGAACTATTCCTCTAGAACATTATTGCATTTCTAAAGAGCTTGGGGCTGAATAAGAACTAGATCAAGAAAGAAAACCTTAGCACAAATATAATTCTCTTAAGTAAAAGCTTTTCTTCTTGTGAAGCTAGGATTTATATAGAACTATGTATGTGCATATTCATGTGTGTGTGTGCATGTGTGTTTGTGAACTACGAAAAGGTAAAAACTCTTTTAAGAAGGAAATACTTTATATGAATCGTGGCACACTAAGACTTAAACACTGGCACTGATATTGTTGTAAGTTGTAAGATAGCCAACAGATCACTGTGAGCCAATTGAAAGGAAAGAGGCAGCTTTGATTTTGACTGTCATATATCTTGAAACAGTGACTACATTCACGAGGTTTCATTTAACTCAGGCTTAGAGACTAATGTGTTTGACTATGATTCTATGATTTGGCAAACACAAAAGTACTGACAAAGACATATGGAAGACAAAACTGACTTGGATCTGACCAAGATACTTTCAAGGTAGAACCTTCTATTTGTGAATTAACAGAGCATATGTTAGCTGAAGTCTGAAGGGACTAGACAGGTAAGTTTGGATTGTACCCAAATATATTTTGGTTTACATGGCAATGCTGGGGGAGACACATGGGACTTCAGGGGTGGCATCTGTGAGATGCTAGAAGCTGACCCCATATTGGACAGAGCCAGCTCCAGTCAGCTCCAAGATGGTTCTGCCACTGGCCAAAGCTGAGCCAATCAGTGATGCTGGTAACACTTCTGTGATAACATATTTATGAAAGGGTAAAAACAAGCTGCACAACAGGAATGAGAGAGAGGAGTGAGAATATGTGTGAGTGACAGCTCTGCAGGTACAAAGGTCAGTGAAGAAGGAGGGGAGGAGGTGCTCCAGGTGCCAGAGCAGAGATTCCCCTGCAGGCCATGGTGACAACAATGGTAAGGCAGGCTCTGCCCCTGCAGCCTATGGAGGTCCACAATGGAGCAGATAACCCACCATGTCTATGTAAACACAATCCCTCTCAGAGAGGCTTCCTTTTTTTTTGGTTTTATTCTTGACACCTGGCACTATAAAGAAGTTTAGAGAGAAGTGGAAGATTTGGAGTTAATCCCTAAAATAAATAAATAATAAATAAATAAATAAATAATAAGTTTTCAAACCATGGAGATCATAGTGAATGTAGGAATACAGGAGACACAGCAGCTTGATATATCAATATATTCAAAACTTAAAACAGTAGAAGCTGGAAGATGCACATTCCTCCTAAAGGACCATGTTAAATATGTTCACTAGTGAAGAGCAAATTTAAACTGATATATTGTAATGCAAAGGAAAAGAGTTGCTGTTACTGAACTGGCCATGCATCAAGATTTCTACTATTGTCAGGAGAATATCCTCATCGAGGGCTCAGAGGTCCAGAACAATTAAGTAGTTTAAATATGTCTCCCCAAGAACAGAGAAATCCTTAATAAAGAACAAAAGGGAAAAGGAAGCTGGAAGAAATTAACAGAGGACGTGTACACACAGATCACAGCACAGCTTAGATTACCACCAAGGTGTCTTCCCTAACTGGCAAAGGAAAATGTCCATGGGAATGAGAGATTATACCTGGAAAACTTTATCCAGTTTTGTTGCTTAACCCAACGTCTTGTTAATGCTGTAGAGCAGTGTTTCCCCATGGACATGTAATGCAGATAAAGACTCTGAGAAAATGAAAACTTATAAAAGTTCAAATTCTCAGTCAGACTGAAGAAGAAAACTTAGTTTTCCGCAGGTACTTCCAGGGAGGGATACAGTTCTCCTCTGAAGAACTAAGATCAAATTTACAGATTTAGATATTTAGAGCACTAACAAAAATTGAAAGTATAATTCATCCTAAGATATTTATGGTTGTACTTTGAAACCTGCACTGAAAATGGCTATATCTATGCTGGACAACCTGGCCTTCTAGAAAATAGAAAAGAACAGGCTTTCCTTACTTCTTTCTTTTTAGGGTTTGGTCATATTATTTCTGCTCTGTTTCAGTATCTCCAAATACATAAAGATGTATATAATCAGTCTGAACAAAGAACTTGATGCATATATGAAATTTTAATGTCTTTAACTAAGACTGGATGAAACTTTATAAATCACTTGCTGCTGCTGTTTAAAGTGGGACAGAAAATGAATGTAGGTTAAAGACACAATTTTACAAAAAGTGCAAAAAGTGCAGTTCAGCAAAGTACAAAGTTAATTTTTACAGCAGTATGTTTTAATCTAAACCAAACAAAGAATATAGTCAGTATTAGATAAAACAGGACATGACCTGCCCAATCTACTGAGCAGGATATTCTGGAAAATGATTGAAACTATCAGAACACGTTGAATAAGATGGTGTGCTTCTACCCCTAACATCAAACTATCCAATAATGGTTGAGGTTGGCATGGACCTCTGGAGATCATCTAGTCCAACCCCCTCCTCAAGCAGGTTCAGCTAGAGCAGGTTTCCAGTACTGTGTCTAGCCTGCTTTGGAGTATCTCCAAGGATGGAGACTCCACAACCTGACTGGGCAACCTGGTCCTGTGTTTCACCACCCTTACAGTGGGAACATTTCTCCTCTTGAAATGAAAATTCCTGTACCTCCCCTTGTGCCTTTTAACTGACCACCATGACTAAAAGTATGACCTTATCATCTCCCCATCTGTCCCAGTAGTTTACACGTTAGTAAGATGAAGAAGATGTTGGATATGTCAGCCATTTCTACGTCCTCTGTCACTGTATGTCCCATCCCTTTCAGCCATGGGCCTGTGTTTTCACTTGCCTTATGTTACTGCTTAGCTACCTGTAGAATCCCTTCATGTTGCACTTCATGTCCCTTATCAGATTTGATTCCTGCTGGGCATTTCCTAACACTATCTCTGTACGAAAGAACAGTGTTTTTATGTATCTTCTGTGTGACCTGACCCCACATCCACTTCTTGTAGGTTTCCTTGTTAAGCTTGGATTTTTATAAGGAGCTCCTTGTTTATCTATGAAGGCCTCCTGCCATTCTTGCTCTTACTCATGAGGGTGGGACCATTCTTGAGCTTGCAGAAGCTAATACCTGAAAATCACTTAGCTTTTCTTGAACCTTCTTCTCTGCAGGACCATATCCTATAGGATTCTCCTAAGCAGATAATTGTGCTTGCAAAAGTTCTCTGGAGTGGTTCACTTGCCAGCCTCCAGATACCAATTTCTAAATTATTTGAGAAAAACTGGCCTTCTCTGCACCCCACTTAATACCATACAGCATTAAGCATTCTTTGCTGCTAGTAGAGAGAGGTTACAAACTTGTACAATCTCTCTGCATGCCATGCTCCTATTTCTATCTCACCCACCCACTTGCAGTACTATATTTATCCCTAAAACAAGTAATGTTGAGACAACTTTGTGCTTTATATATATATATATCAGACTGCGAGTAAATAAAGCATGTATGTATAAACAGGTTTGCATTCACCAAAGAAATTATTCATTTATGTTAGATTATTTTTCTTATATTGGATAAACAGTAGATAATGTGTGTCAGTTCTGTCTTCTTGTCAGCCATGGTATATTCACAGGGGTCTATTTGTCGGGAGAGTGTGAGCATGATTTAGGCAGTTGACAGTGAAATATGGATTTAGGTGTGTAACTGTTAGTCCTTATAACACAGTGACAAAGGATGGTGGAAAAAAATAATCAGACTAATAAAAAATGTGCTGAAAAAGAATGTAGTCAGAAACTGATCCATATTTAGCATGGTTGCTATGGAATAGCACAGAGTAACATGCTATCAAACACTGACATATTATTAAAGAAAAAATAAAAATTGATGGATAAGACTTCAAAAAACCCCGTATAAGTATTGTGTTTCAGAAGGATGGTGTAGGTGTTACATATGGTAGGAGTCAATGATTGCCAGACACTGTGAAACGTTAAGGGAGTTGTTATGCATCCACTTTATTTGGGCGCATAATGGAAAGGAGTCACTGAAATGGTTTATATATCCAGCTGGTGAGGATAAGGAGCCTTTATTCTGTACCTTTTCCTGTGAAGAAACATCAGGTCAAGAAATGTAAGCCGCAGGATGTGGTACTGTTAGGACAGATGACCTTGTCACCTCTCAGCAATATTTATAACCAAAGGAGTTTTTCAAGTCCAAATGGCAGAATAAGGTATCTCAGAGGATAACTGAGCAATTTTAAAAGTAC